GAAATTCCCAAACAAGGATTTACATCTGTCATGTACTTATTGTACAGTGCAGAGGTTTAGGGCCCAGAAAAAAATGGCTCTCATTGGTAGGTCTCCTGTATTTTCCTATTTATATCCCTGTCTTTTTTCTTATGAGGGAGGGAGGGAAGGAGGAATAGCTGGCCGGTTTTCTGGAATACAATTATTTGTGCAGTGAAATCTGCATTTTTGTGTGTGCATACTGATATTTTCACTGGTTGCCAATTGTTGATGACAGGACAATGAACAAACCCTGTGTTCCAAGCAGCAGAAACAAGAACTGCCTTTTCTATATGCAAGACAAAACATGTGGACCAGTAATGGGATGCTTGATTTAATGACTCAAAAGATGTGACATTAAAGAGTGAAACAGCAAAAAAGGTTTGAGAAGAGATATGATTTTCAATAATGCTCTAGGATGTAAGTTCTTAACCTATGGTCCACGGACCATGAGGGACCATGATGTCCTCATATTTATTTTATTTTATTTATTTATTTTTTCAATTTTTACCCTGCCCCTCTAGACTACGTCTACTCAGAGCGGCTTACATAGGTTAAAACACATTAAAATAAACATATATAATACAATTATTACAATTAATTCTAACCAGCATGTTTCCAAGATGGCAAAACTCAGAAAGAAGAAAAAGAAAAAAATCGGTTCTTAACCTGTGATCCACAGATCAATATCCTCACAGGGGCCCCGTAAAGAAATTAAGAAATGTTATGATCTTTTGCAATTAAAATAGAAAGAAAGAAAGAAAGAAAGAAAGAAAGAAAGAAATCTTAATTTCCTTTGCATTTGTTTAAAACTTGCCTTTTCTGCCTCTATGAAAAACAAACAAAAGTAAAAATCAGTTATGAAAATAACTGCTTGATAGCAAGTATCTGTTGATATTTCTGCACACAGTGAGAATATGTGAGTGAATGACACTGAGTGGTCAAGTGACAGAATGAGACATTTCTTGCTACTGCACAGACAGAAGCCTCAGAAAGAGAGTCGGAGTCAGTCAATGTCAGTGTGAGTGAGTGTTCGGGCAGAATTCATGATCCTGTTTCTTCTTTGATTTCTGCTAATAAAACCATTCGGTTATTGTAGGGTAGAGTGACTTTCAATATTATTGCAGTGAATTTTGAATTGATACATTTTGGCTGAGCCTCAGAATGGATCACTGGCTGAATCTGAAATGTAAAATAACTGATTATGTTGATCGGGATGCATCCTTTTCAAAGAAATATGAACCTTCTTCCAGTCATCTTAAAAAATATTGCTGTTATAGCAGGGGATATCTGTCGATGAGACCCTTCATGAGAAACTTTTAATAAATATTTGGTGCACTTTGGGGTTTTAAATCTTGACTTAAATCTTGGTGGCCCGTGGCAACAAAAGATATTTAAAGGGAGCCTGTGGTAAAGAAAAGGTTAAGAACTGCTGATCTAGGAAATGGGTCTCTCAGGTACATCACATCATAAAATGAAACAATGCACAGTCTCCTGAAAGACTGAAATAAGAATGTTCCATAGTCACACGTAAGTATCTCCGAAGAGACACTGTGCTTTTGTAGCTAAAGGCATAAGCAAAGTCTTGCCTGTCTGTTATAGCACTAGGTTTTAGTAATCTTTCAAGACTGAATCTTAGGTATGAATTCCTATACAGTATCATGGGTTCCCAAAGTGGAGCTTTTGCCATCTTAAGCAAACTAGAAGGGACAAGTTGGAAAAGTTGCAACCACCTGCCTTCAAAGTAGCTTTGCAAACTTACACAGGGACACAGTGTAAAGGAAACAAGTGTAAGGTGTGAAATCTATTCAAGTTTCAGTCTCAGCAGAAAAATATTGTTTACTTAGCAGATAAATGCTTTAGTTCATTTGTTTGTTTGTTCCTGCTTTTACAGGGAATTCGTGGGCATAACATAGAGAGTTGGTTTCAAAATAATTTGAGATTTTTCATAGAACAAGGAAACCAGGGAGTTTCAAAGCGAAGCAAGATGCAGTGTCATGGCCAAAGTGGTCAAACATTTTATAATTTTACTGGCATGGTTTAGTTAATGGATATTTATTTTGCAATGCTGAATCCACCCCACATACCAAGCTTACCAGTATGCACAACTGTTACTCAGTGTGAGTAAATTCCACTGCTTGCTTAGAGTAGCTTTGCCACAGCAAAATTAGATGATGGCTAGGAGGAAGATATCTGAGGTTCTGCAAAGGAGCTGGAAACAGTGCAATGATATAGAAATTTGGCAAAGATGCTTTCTCACTACCACCTGGCAATCTTGTGTATCTCATTTTTTGAACACTGGATGAAATCCTATCTAATTTTTTTGCCTAAGTGTGCTAGATCCTATAATCAGAGCTGTCACTCACTTCTGCACGTGCATCATATGGAAGCTTGTGCTGAATTGCCCATTATAAAACAGCTGTCTTATCTGCATGCAGACAGATTTTTAGGCACCCTTCAGTCTCGAGACAGATCCACACTAGATACTAAAATGCCATAACTGCACACAGATGTGATAAACACAAAAGAATATTAAACTCTCTTTTTAAAAAAAAATATAAATTCAACAAGTGGATTCATTTATTTTCTTCTTTGATCCTTGTTAATATCATAATAATTTCCATTATTTTATTGGTACACTATTAAGCATAAAAGAGCAAAAAATAGCTTTAACTCTATTTTTTAAATATTACTTTGTGAACACTTCGTGAACATGCTTAAAATATAAAGTGTTGATTCACTGAATATTTTAAACTATCCTGCAGATATCTACAAGGGTATTAAGTCAGGGAAAGGCAAACATGTACCAGGCTAAATCCAGACAATTCTCATGCCACTTAAATCCTGGGAACATATATTAATACCTTTTAATAATACTTGGTAATTTGACAAACTTGCTGGTGTCATTACCCATGATGTAACCCAAATGTTACACATCATAGTCTAAGATTGGCTTTTTTTTCTCTTGACATAGATATTTGTTCAAGCTGGAAACTACACTCATATTCTCAATACTGTCTAAGTGTTTGGCTTATGTTTCAAAGGAACTCCAGTCTTGCCTTTGTACTTTGGAGAACTAAAGAATTCTTGGCAAAGGAAGGTCCATATGCTTAAGGCTTTATCAAATCCTCACCCCATACGTTCTAGTGAAATCAATGAAATTCTACAGATGGAGCCTATGCTCATCTAGAATGTCCATGCAATTAATGAGAAGAATTTGCAAGACAAATGGTAAACATTGTATGATTCAACCAGCCTGCCGTTTTACTCCAGTTCTTAGCTAAAGGTTCAACTACAGACTGCTGATCCTACCAGACAGAAGTGGAATAAAAGCAGCTTTTTTACTTCCTTACGTGACTCCTTGTTTGTTACAAAAAATTTAAAAGCTTCTGTTTACAGAGTTTTCATCTCATTATACTCTATCCTTGCATCAGAACTGCGTACATCTACATGAAAACTAACCATTTACCTTTTGCATTAGCACCAGTTATACTGCAGTGTCCTCAAATGGTCTTAAAAGTGATAAGCAGTTAAAGCAATTCAGGTTGTTTCTATTTTAGAACAAGATGATAGAGAATAACCCAGAAATACCTGTTTCTAATAATGCATCTTGTATTACACAAATTGGACATGCCACAAAATGTCACAGTATTGAGTGCTACAGGATTCCAATTTGTCAGTTGTCTTGTCCTGTCCCAGAATACTGCATCAGAATTAACTGACACCACTCAGAATAGCTGAAATCCTATTGCTTAGAACAGTAAGTCACAGTAAAGTAAGCTCTACTGAATCAGTGGGGATTTGGTGAATCAGTTCTTCCATATGTTCCATTGATTTAAGTGGGCCTACTCTATTATTCATTTATGTTAAATATTTATATGCCGTCTTTCTCCTAAAGAATGCGAGGCAGCTTACAATATTAGAAGAAAAAAAGTTAAAAGCTAAAATAATAAATTTACAATATTTTTAAAGAAATTAAACAAATATATTAAAACTTATAAATAAGATCAATATTGAAAGCACAAGTTGCAACTTCCTTTCGCATAATAAGTAACAGTTAAGAATAGGCCCATTCAATCAATGGAAGTTACGGCAGAGTTGACTGATTCAGTAGGCTTACTCTACAGTGACTAAGCTAAGCAACTGGATTTCTGCCACTTATTCAGAGTGGCATCAGTTAATTCTGGTGCACTACTGAGCTGACTCATCAAATCCCCATTGATTCAATGGAGCTCCTATTGTGCAATTAAACTATGCTAAGCAACAGGATTCCAGCTAGTAAGTATTCTATGTCTCCTAAGCAGGTTCAGTTGTAGTTGAGCAGAGTTTTTTCCTCCTCAGTGTCCTCTTATTCCCTGGCTTTAAAAACCCCACAAACTTTGTACTTCTGTAAACCTTAGGATTCCTGCACCTTTGTTCACACCTCTTTGTCATTAATGGATGAGGCTGTTTAGGCTAGTACAGACCACCACTCCGGGAAAGAGTTCATCAATGCATATAGCATACTAATATATAATGTAGCAGCCTCAGTGCACTTCCAGCTGCTACACCATCAGAGAATGAACGAGGAAATCCAGCAGTTGTAACAATAGACACATCTATATGAACAAATACTGCATGCTGAAGTTCTATATCAACAAATAGGGACTCCACGCATACCCTGAACCATTATGTAGCTGTGAAGTTAGTGAGTACCGCTTCTGCTTTTTACAGGGCAAGGAATATTCCACATTTGGGAAAGGAAATTCTTTGCTTGGATCCTTCTTTACAGCTGTACTTGGGTTTCTAGAAAGGTCCCTTCTTGCATGACCAAGGAGGATGCTTGGAAAACAGCTCTCTTTTTCTCCTTTGCTGCACACTCACGTTACAGGCAAAGTGCAGAGGATCACACAGACTTTGCAGTCATAGCTTATGACTAACTTCCTGGGGTTCAAGAGGAAAATGAGGTGCTCTATCCAATCAAACTGCACAGCATTTCCTACCTCACATCCATCACAGGCAACAGGCATGGAAAACTGGGAGTTCAGCATCCACAGAAGAAACGTGGTCCTGAAGTGGAAACAGTTAAAAGGGACAATTGTTATTATGGGGTTAACATCTCCTATAATTTACCCAGTTTCCCCATAATATCCTTGCAGGAAAATACTAGTCTAAAAGAACACCCTACTACTCCAAACAAATGTTTTTAAAGTACTGTATTTCTTTCGCTCAAACCAAGCAGGGATGGTTCACTTCTCATATCTCAACAACTACAGAGATATGTAAGCAAGGTGAATATATGCATTGTAAATTTGTTCATGTACTCTGTTTCTGAGAGAGATAAATAATTAGAGAGGGATAGTGAGATCTATTAAATACTGTAGCACTCAGTATGTGTAAACCACTTAGCTATAATAGATATTCACAAGCTTTTCCATGCTGATGAAGCTTTCTTTGGGAGGAAGGGTGGAACATAAGAACTGTGAATGAAGATGTGCTATATAGGTGATAAAGACTAGATAGTTCATATTACATTTTTACATACAACCTGCATAACACATTGAAAAGGTAATTAGTGTTACATTTGGGTGGTGATCACATGACGTTCCCTAGAGATTGATGATAATTGTTGAACCGATATCCAGAACCTTCATGGCTTTAAAATTACTTGACCTAAGTCTTTGCAGTCCAGTGTGTGAAAAGGTCATGATCTACCTTAACTACAATACATAAAAATGCAAAGTCAAATCCAGTTAGTTCTTTCCCCAATTCACATTATCCTCAGAATGGTGAGGAAGGTCAGACTGAAACTGTTCCACAGATAGCCAATGAGCTCCACAGGGATTTGAATTTAGGTTTTCCTGACTCCATACTAGACCATAGTTGCCTGAACCAGATTAGGCAAATGATATATATTTAGCATCCTATACACAATCTATAGGACACAACAGAAGTTGGCTGGTTAATTGCACACATCAGGAGAGTTTCCTCTGTATTGATGCACTGAAAGTCCAATCACTCAATATGATTGTTATCATATAACCAAGATTCCTTCTTCGCTGACAAACTTACATTTACCTTACATCCATCATAAGATGTGAGCCAACAACAGGTATGACTGGATTACAAGTGAGGACACAGTTATAGTCCCACTGAATTCAAAGATAGTGCTTTATGCCTAAACAAGAAACAGAGCTAGAAGTAAGAATCTAATACAGAAGAAGTCTGGAAAGACCACATCAGGAGTAAGGCTACATTACTTCAGGGATGAAAAACATGTATTTCTCCCAGGTGTAGTACTGAAAGACTACAGCCAGCCAGCACAGGCAATAGTGGGCAATGATGGGAGTAGCAATCTAGCCCCCAGCTGCTCATCCCACAGTTTTTAGTTATTGATACCCTGAAATCACACAAGGCCATGAACATCCAAGCTTATTCATCAATTTGATTTCCTTCTGCGTTAGTAAAACCGATTCATGGTTGTTTCCCATTCTCATTTCCTCACAGCCAACTGATTTTATTACATTTAGTCTTGAATAAGATAACACTAACAATTATATGTAATTCGTTCAACACGTCTACAAAAAAACAACAACAGGAATATTAGCTCTATGGCTGATGATCATATGAGGACAACAATTTACAGTATTGTAGGATTAGGAAATATAATTCATCGTAATCAAAGAAATGCAAGTATTTCTCAGAGTTTGAACTGGCATTTTATTATGAGCACAGGTCTCCTGGGCAGTTTATAATCATTTTCTACAAATGCCAGGCTACACTGTATTGGCTCTAAGTCATCCATTTCCCAGGATTTCTTAGAGTGACAATGAACCTTTTTGTTACATACTATCTAGTTCAACAACTGATCACATTTAGAAAAGTGTTGACTGTTACCATGTAATAATTTGGAAGATTTGGAAGAACATATTGTAACTTTTCTTTTTATAGATACTGTATTTTACAAAGCAGGTAATTCTGTTTTAGTTTTTTCGGTACGGGTTTTTGTTGATTATCCCTTAAACATCAATAATATAAATTTAAGGTGTAACTATAAATGCTTTTAATCTAAAATCTACATCTAAGTCCCAACAACTCTTACAGACTAAAATCCCATTTTTTTCCTGCTGAAATACACTCCACCACACATTGTAAGGAAAATGTTCTCACCTTGAATTTCTAGAACATTCTTATCAGGAATATAGCTGTAGTGTTGCATGATTTCATTATCTGATTTATTGACCAGCAGATGAAACCCATCACAATCCAAAAGTGATGATCACTTTTCACCTTTTTCGTTAATCCATGTTTAGGTTTAACATTGATAGACAGAGCACAAAAAGTCCCTACACATGTTTGTATCCCACTGAATATACAGTGGAGCCTTGACTTACAGACGACTTGACATACAGACTTTTTGAGTTACAGACTTCTCTGGCCGCAAAATTTAGGTTTGACTTGCAGACTGAGATTTGACTTACAGACCAGAAAAAAACCAAAATGGAACAAAAACGGCCTGTTACGGGATTAATTGGTTTTCAATGCACTGTAGGTCAATGGAGACTTGACTTGCAGACTTTTTGACTTGAGAACCACCTTCCAATACGGATTAAGTTCTCAAGTCAAGACCCCACTGTAATCTCCCCATCATACAAAGTAAGTGTAACTTTCCTTTAGCCCAAAGAGGCCAAACAAACTGCCTCATTGTCTGCATTGTCTATTTTTTTCCTTCCCCACTTTTTTTTTATCAGCTCCTGTTTCAGGCAGCTTGGGAAAAAGCTAGGAATAAGCCAAAGGTATGGGTCTGAACATCACACACACCAAATGGCTGTGAGCAGCACAGGCAGCATTTGGTTCAATGTCACTTTGCAATGCCTGCATGTGACTGTATCCTCAAGCTGTGACACTACTCAGATCTCTCCAAGCAAGGACTTTCCTTTCCAAAACATGAGTTGTCATTCATTACAGAACATGTTTGGTTTAGATTGCACAGATCACTGAGAAGGACAGATTTCTTGGGGGGGGGGGACAAAAAGAAACCCAGAGCAAAACAATTAGAACACAGAAGACTGACTGCACCAGAGGTTGAGCACATTCTAGCCACTCAGTTTTGAGTCCTTTGCTTCACAAGGGGAACCACAAACTGGCACAGCCACCAGGGAAGATCAAGGAAGGTGACATGAGGTAAACTTCTTTATGGCTTACATATGGTCACCATGCAATTTCTCTTCTGTACTAAATACTACTGTGATTTTACTTTGGGAAAGTTTTTTTTATATGACTCTGCAGGCCTCTATGGGCAAAAGGAAAATTCCACATGCCCAATCTGTTGGGGAGACGATATACAATGGGATACCAGGATGCACAAGGGTTTATTGTGGCCTGTCTGTACTAGCACCAGAATGTACTGTACATGGAGAATGTCCATTAACCTCCTCTGGAAAGTGACTACCGTGTTACCTGGGCTTCTGTACAGCCATACAGCGCAACAGCACTGCTGACAGACTAGATGGTAAAACAGAAGTAATCCTGGACATCTAGATTTTAAAAACACATCATTATCTGTCTTGAATGGAAAACGGTAACATGGGATATGAGGTTTTCAATTTATGTCTCAATTGGAATTTTTCCTAGGAATTTTTATTTGTGTTTGATATACAAACTTAGTTATATAAATCGTATTAAGGAGTAATGGGATGATCAGAGTATATCAGTTTGCACAAACTCGTTCACACGAGACAAAATTAAATAGAAAAATAAGAAAGAGGGTCTGTGCTGTCTGATGAAGTAGGAAGAATGACTTTGTTCCCTGTTTGTCCTGCATTCCAATCTGTTTGAGATTGAGCTTCCAGTAATTAACCAATCTACCTCATGAGTCCTGGCACACTACCAAAGGTTCTCTCACATTTGTAAGAAATGCTATTGTTTGTGTGTGCACTTCAGCTGGGCAGGAACAGAGCTTGGAAACTTTGTTTGTATTTGGAATACAGCTGCCTGAAACATCCGGGGGAAAGCACCTTTCTAAATTGTGGCAGGAACGTTTGGCTTACTGCACTTGAGAGCCAATGATTTACCTTACACAAAACCACTTGTGATGGCCCTACAACAGGAAAACTCTCTTATATCCAGTGAGACCATTGGCCCACACAGTTCTGTGCTATCTATGCAGACTAAGGGTCAAACTAGATAGAAGGAATCACACAAAGACTCTAATCTGTCTCTGATGTGATCCCAGTTTCTACCATCCTCTCCCTTCATTCTTGCTACTGGAACAACTTCCTCTCAGAACAAAGGGGTTGGCATTTTCAGGTTTTAAAATGAACTTAATTGGAAGTGGTGTTTATTACTGACCCAGAACAAAGGGGTTGGCATTTTCAGGTTTCAAAATGAACTTAATTGGAAGCAGCGTTTATTATTGACCATTTACATATGAATTGTTAGACATGCTTAATGGGAAAGTACATTGTGTAAGTATTTTTAATACCATACTGCAGCTTGATTTCAAGAATATGCATTTGTTTATTTAAAATATTTTTATACTGCCTTTCTCCTAAAAAATTAGGGATGTGGCGGCGCTGTGGGTGAAAACTGCAGAAGCCTCTGTGCTACAAGGTCAGAAGACCTGCAGTCGTAAGATCGAATCCACATGACAGAGTGAGCTCCCATTGCTTGTCCCAGCTCCTGCCAACCTAGCAGTTCAAAAGCATGTAAAAATGTGAGTAGATAAATCGGTACCACCACAGTGGGAAGGTAACAGCGTTCAGTGTCTAGTCGCACTGGCCATGTGACCACAGAGGATTGTCTGCGGACAAACGCTGGATCTATGGCTTGGAAATGGGGATGAGCACTGCGCCCTAGAGTCGGACACGACTGCACTAAATGTCAAGGGGAACCTTTACCTTTATCTCTCCTAAAAAAGGACCCAAAGCAGCTCACATCATAAAAAAAACACAATATCAAGAGCTAAAAATAGTACAATATTCAAATTTATAGAAGAATTAATAATATTAAAAATGTTAGGTGAAAGCATTACTAAAAACAGATTTAGAAGCAACAAAACACAAACTATC